CGATCATTTGTAATGATGAACCTTTATGTTGATATAATCTTGCCTTTAAAAATAAATATCAGAATGAATTAATATTAGGCATAGTATTAGTCTATATAAATATTATTTGTATAAATATCACACATACGTTATTATAACCTGTCTTATGATTAAGCATATCAGCCATTGGGATCATTACAACTTCTTCATTATCATCATTATCATCATCATCATCATCATCATTATTGTTAGTATCATTACTACTAATTTTATTATCTCCACCATTACCATTCTCTTCATTAAAAGCATTGGACATAATAAGTGACCCAATTTGATGAAACAAATTTATATTGTGAACATCTGGTTTGAAAACATTTGGTTTTGACTGTTTTTTAAAAAAAAAAAAATAAACTTTTAGAAAATATTTTTTGTTAGATGATTTACTAAAAATGAATTATTGGGAGTAAATGTTCATAAAACCCCTTTTCCGAATCTGCTTTTCCAATCTTATCTAATAAAAAAAAATATCATATTTACAAAAATTTTATAACTAAAGAAAAAAAGATATTTTATTTTACCTATAACACCTGTTCCCTGTAATTCAGTCAATTCTTCTTCTGTCCAAAACATTGGTGTTTCAAATTGTTTTGGTAAAATGTCAAAGTAAGGTTTCCATAGGGAATTTTCTTTTTGTGACTCGTACATCATACATAATATAAGTGGGAACCAATGATTAATTTTATAAAGTTTTTTATATTCTTCTGTAGAAACTTCATTTTTAAGTAAAGAAGTTTTTGGAGATAAAAGTATTGAACGGGGAATCTCAAAAAGAACTTCGTCACTCTTTTGCCCCCAAAAGATAAAAATTAATTTTTTTTAAAAAAAAAACAAGTATAAAAAAATATATCAATGAAAATGCAAAAATACCCCAATTTCCTCGACTGCCATCATTCCACGTCCTGCATTTTCGTTTGAATAGTCTTTGAATGCAATTTTTGGTGAAATTATACCTCCATTAGCACAAAACCAATCAACGAAACTTTCATTAATAAGTTCAAAAGAAGTTTTTTCACACATTGTTTTATAAAAATGATCAACTTCATACCTACTTGAATAGGCTGCTAGCTCGCAAAAAATCTTAAAATTATTTATTTCTTGGTGCAAATTTTGGCATTCTCATCATAAAGCACATATTTAGAGCCTTGGCCCAGGACCGAGACATTTAAATTATTTATCAATTAATTCATATTTCACATCTTTCTACTGTTTTTTTTTTAATTGAAACATAAAAAAATCTTTCTATATTTTATTTCGTCATATATTATTTTGTAGTGACTTAGTCTAATAAGCAAAACGTTTTAAATGTTTGATATAGATAAGTAAAATTAGGTAGCTCGCATCTATATATTCTTTAGGCATGCATAATTTCATTACCAATTGACTACTGATCACTTTCCTTTGGTTTAGGAGGATGGCAGTATTCGATTATGTATAACTTAACATGTATGTAGAAATAAGCAAGCTTCGATTTATAATTTTATTTTTTATGCCCAGAGATTTTGATTTTTTTTACACGTCGAATTATTGGTATACAGTCGAATCTAGTGGTTGTATCCATTGATTATCCGGATAATTGGTCATTCACCGAATATCCGCCAAATATCCATTGAATATTCATTGATTTATAATAATTATTTATTCCTCAGGAAAAATATTTTCAATACATTGCATATTTTTTTTAAGAAATACAAATAACAACGGATTCGATTTTATTCGTTCGGCTGTCATTGTGTTTCCAGCTTCACTAAATACAGTCAAACCTTGTCACAGCAGATGAATGAAGATTTATTTAAAACTCGTTGCGGCAAGATTTACTGATCTTGCTACAATGGATTTTTATGTTTTTATATTTTAATGTGAATGTGAAGCAAAAATTTTAAAAATTCGTTATAATTATAGTCCGCCGTGACAAGGTTTAGCTGTAGACGCTCATTTGGAGTAGAAGTTACTGCAATGCATAAATATTCTTTAGATAATAATGACACAGTTGGTATTCGTATTACTTGATATGTTATTATAATAGAAATAATGTTGGTGATAGTGTAATAGTGCATAAAATAGTATTTACATGTTAATGTATTAGTAATTCTTTCAATTACGTGGATAAAGATTTTTATTTTTTATAATTAACTGTTAATCAATGAAAAATTTTCAGCACCCGATTAACCAGATAATCGGTGAATAATTGGTAAATATCATTCGGCGGGTACCCACTAAATTTTATTATTACTAATACAGTAATAGTCGCGTGACATGTCCTGCAGAAGTTTGTCATACAGGGAGGAGGAAGTGTGATTGTTGTTATTGTTATTCACATCAATTGATTTTCCAAATTCGAAATTCGTGTCACATGAAGTTTTTTTAAAATACATAATAAACTCGAACTTCTTTGTTAGAGTAAAATAAAAGTACTCCGTTAAAACTTTCTAATGAATATTCTTTTATATAGAAAGGTATTCTCTACATGAATTCACGGCTGTTCAAAAACGGGTATTACTTTTTCACTTCAAAGCTCAGATTATTTCTCAATATCGCTTTAAAAGACTTGATAATAAATGAGAAGGTGTAGAATACTTTAAGCTTTCATATGGTCATTACTTTATGGGGGGTATTGGTTAATAAGTTTTAG